TTTACAAGAAAAGATTATGCAAAACATATACATAGTTGTATACTTTCCCAATATTGTTTTTTATGTGACTTTAGTGCAGGTAAAAGATACCATATTGACACTCACCTCAGCTAATGGAGTCACCTCTTTAATTCAGAATAACTGCCATCCAAAGGTCCATCTAGCCCAGTAACCTGTCTTCCGGCAGTGGCCAATGCCAGGTGCCCCAGAGCAAATGAACAGAAAAGGTAATTATCAAGTGATCCATCCCCTGTCGTCCATTCCCAGCTTCTGGCAAACAGAGGTTAGGGACACCATATCTGCCCATCCTGGCTAATAGCCATTGATGGACCTATCCTCCATGAATTTATCTGGTTCTTTTTTGAACCGTGTTATAGTCTTGGCCTTCACAACATCCTTTGGCAAGGAGTTCCGCAGGCTGACTGTTCGTTGTGTGAAGAAAAACTTCCTTTTGTTTGTTTTAAACCTGCTGCCTATTAATTTCATTTGGTGACCCCTAGTTTTTGTGTTATGAGGAGTAACACTTCCTTATTTACTTTCTCCACACCAGTCATGAATTTATAGACCTCTTTCAGATCCCCCCTTAGTCGTCTCTTTTCCAAGCTGAAAAGTCCCAATTTTATTAATCTCTCCTCATGTCAAAGTTGTTCCATACCCCTAATCATTTTTTCAAGCGGTGGAAGGCTGTCTTTTAGGGGATGAAGGTCCTGGGTTTGTTCCCAACTCTTGAGCACAATGTCCATGCATATCCAGACACAGTGCGTTGCACAAGGTTGTAGGTGACTTGAATCCAGTGTCCTGAGTAGGGCTCATCCCTCTGTTAAGCGTTTCATCTTATAAGAAGTGCTCCAGAGACTATGGTGTGTGAAGTGCTGTTTTAGTCCATTCCATTTCCAGCACTTACTTGCCTGTTGCAATATTTTCCAGGGGGAGAGTTTCTTTGAAGACCCGGCAGTGCCTACCAGGGGTTGTGTCAAGGATCAGTTATGTTCTGGAAGACACTGAGGGGAAGAGGGAAGAGCACTACCCCAGGAGCGTGCATCTTCAAGTACAGATGATATAGTCTCATCTGCTTTTGTTTTTACAGGGCCTATATTTCCTGTATTGTGGAGAGAGGTAAATTTGCAGAGACAGCACCTATTAAAAACAAACAAATAAACAAACAAACAAACTAGTGGCCAATAATTTCAGATGTGACCAGCAATTTTAGGTGTTTCTGTTTCAGGTGCTCTGTACCTGCTGGAAATCAGGTCCTTTTAAGCTAGCTCAGATTGGGCACACAATAATGAGGTATTCAAGATTACTGGCCACATTTGAAAATCTTGGCCAGAAGGTTTTATATTCAGGTCTCCCCCCAAAAATAAAACCTTTCATTGTCTATTTGTTTTCAATCCTATTTCCAAGAAAGGATCTGGCCCTTGGAAGCCAGTGCAGGTGCTGGGCCGTCGGAAAGGTTTCCTGAGATGGAGTTTGTCAGAGATAAGGTGGTAAAACTTGCTCAGTTCAACGCTCGGTGTTGACTACATTTTTCACCCGTTGCCAGCACACACTTTTCGTTTTTGGATTGCCGGTTCCCCCTTAAGAACTAAGACAATCTCCCTTTGATATAACAGACTGTACTTCTATATTAATGTGTCAAGTTGCTGTGAAATTTACTGCCTCGCTGGGCCCATTAGACTGCTGAGATTCAGCTCCATCTTCAGCGCGTCTCAGTCTATCAGAACTCTATCGTCTCGCTCGGAACAGCCTGTGCCCGCATGCTACTGTACCGAGGAGAAACCCTTAATGGAAGCAGTGCAGATAAATTCTTTAGGCCCTGAAAATCTCCATGACTGGAGGATGCCCTCTCGCGGGAGGCTAGGCGGCAGGCTCTGGGTGTCTGCTGTATGTCGCGGGAGTTTTCCCGTACCTCCTTTTTTGTAAAGAAATGATTTAGCAGCACTGACTCAGTGCCTGTTTAGCACCATTCTTACCCAAGAGACTGCTACAGAGAAAGTCATTTTCAATTTAGCTCAACTCACCACAAGAAAAGTTTATCTCATTTTGCCCTGCTTCCCCCCCTCCACCCCACTATTCTACAATGAATTTAGTGCTGGCAATCCAGCCCTGGACTCTGAAGTCTCCTATTTAACCACAGCTCAGACGATCACGTCAAGTTTCGCCACACCGCCCCCTTCTGATGTGCCTCAGGCCTGACCCAAACAGACCATGTCTAGGTGACAAGATGGCGATTCAGTTTCCAGGGACCTTTTTCTCCGTTGAATCTTTGTTGTGACTGGCAACAAGGAAAGCATCTGGGAATGGTGTGGGGGTGAAATCGTCACCTCTCTGCTGGAAGCAGGGGTGAGACCACCCAGTTCATGACACACATTGGTAGGTCGCCGCACACAACCATCAGATGGTAGCAAATTTTAATCACAGTCCTTACCACCTACCCTGGGCTGGAGTCTAGCCTGGGAGTATGACCTGGCATTGGAAAGCTCTCTATCCCTTTATTAATCTCCTAACCCATCCAGCCCCAAAGATGTTTAACCAACCTGTTTGAATATAACCAAAAGGAGAATTTGGCCCACACTGCAATAGTCACACTGTAATAATCATAGTGTTGAATTCAGATTGAATTAGGCTGTCATTGAACTAGACGGTCATTGACAGTTTTATCTCACTGGATGTTATCATTTGAGAAAGAGCTTGACTGACTTAAAGATTTAGGCCTTTGATTCTGTCATATCTATCTGAGCTCTCTGGATGCCTATAATGCACCCATCCCCATAGTATCTGATCACCTTAGAGAAATACCAGATTGCCTTGCAGGAGTAGGAGAAACTGTGTGTGTGTGTGTGTGTGTGTGTGTGTGTGTGTGTGTGTGTGTGTGTGTGTGTGTGTGTGTGTGTGTGTGTGTGTGTGTGTGTGTGTGTGTGTGT